AATATTATATATATATATATATATATATATATATATATATACATATACACACACACATATATATATATAAAAAACCTGTTTATATATATATAATATATATATATAAACATTGGTTCTGTTTCTCTGGAGAACCCTGACTAATACATAGTGTTACTGTAAGGATTTACTAAAATAATGCACAAAAGTGGCTAACACATAGTAAGTGATCAATAAGTAGACCAATATCTACCCTTTTAGTTGTAATTTGTATTTAGACTCTGCTATTTTCTGATGCATGTAGAATATATATGATACTTTGGCAAGTTGGCTTGGAGGTGGGATTGGGAATGTGAAGAACCTTCAGACTTAACTGAGCTCTTACTCTGTGCCACCCTCTGTACTGAGCACTATCATCTAGACTCTGAATTGTATTTTCCTCTGTACACTATGGCAGACACCATTATTTTACAGAGAAGGAGGCTGATGCCCAGAAAGACCAAGCATCATTTTCAGGGTCAGCAGAGGAAAACTACTAATAAATCCTGCCTAATAACTCCAGTCAGTCTGAACGCAGGACCTGCACTCTTTAATTTTACACTATGTTTTTTCAAAATAAAAATAGTTGAACAAAATTCAAGTGAAAAATAAGAAATAGATTAACTTCTTGCTTTCATTGTGATATGGCCTTAAGTTTAGTCTCAGAAAGACTTCAGGAACATCAGAGGTATTCACAAAAGCAGTGAGGGACCAAATTGCCCATCCTTAAAGGCTCTAGTGCAGACAGAGGAGTTAAGCCAGTCACCCCAAAGGTAGGATCAGGACTTCTCTGATGTTCTCCTGACCTCACTCCCTCCCTCACCCTCAGGAAGGAAGAGTCCACTATGAACTGAACCATCCTCCTTGGATTTGGGTTTGTTCAAAGGAGAAAAATAACATATCTATAAATATCCTCTTTTTGCTTGTTTCTCTTTGGCTGCAGGAAAATAGAAATTCTCAATTTCACTTCAAGAGATAGAGAAAAGGGAAGTGAAGAGATTACTGAAAAACGATGAACAGTGAAACCATCCCATGTCTAAATCTGGCAGCTCCTCAGCTTCAATCAATTGTTTTTATGCAAACAAGCAGGGCCAGTTTCCCAAATATTCAAACTTTCCAAGAGAAGCCAGAAATATGAAGTTTTATAAGAAATGCCTAAACTTTTAAGAATCAGGAATGAGTAGTAATTTTAAAACACTTTGTAGGAGACAAAAAGTAGAAAAACATTCTGTAGGAGAAATTTGACACAGAGAAGCCCAATTCATAAATGCTTAATGTAATTAACAATTTAAAAGATGAGAAAAAAGCACCCTGGTTTCACTTCAAAAACAAATCACAGATTGATTCTCAAAACATATTTGTGTTATGATTTAATGGAGACTGAAGAGAAAACGATCTATTTATCATCAGCTTTTCTAGTTCCCATCGAAAGTATTTTTCTCTTTTTCAAAGTACCTGTTATCCTGATCACTACAGCCCTAAAA